GGATAAGGCAATAGTAATTTTAACGAACCTGACAGAGGACATATCTGAGGATCCCTTTCTATTTACCTCTGTCTAGTACAAGCAGAAAACTACAAATAGCCAGGGCTTTATCTCATGATAATTAACTGACGGTTTGTAGGGTTATTTGTTTTCAGTATCCTCCTGCTGCCCACTGAAGATGAAGGTGGTTGAAAGAACAATGAAGGGCTGATCATTTTCAGTGATCTTTCCAGCCTGGCGCGAAATGAATGTTTGTCAGAGAGTTTCTTTGAGTGGGTGGTGGTTTGTTTTTCTGTGGGTAAAAGGAGCAGATGGCCTCAGGTGTCCCTGCACTGAAACGGTTTTGGGCTTGCAGTCAGCATGAAGGGAAGTCTAAGGAGCTTGAAGTGATAGCTCAGAGGTGCGAGTAGCCCTCTCCCTTGTGCTGGATGCCAACTTCCACATCGTGGGTGGCTGATGGCTTATCTAAGCTGGAGAGGAAGCGGGGGGAAATGATGGCAAGGATCACTGTGCTTGCAGGCAGCTGCGTTTTTCTCACCAGAGGTACGTGAAATGAGGTGAGAAAATTTAGGGCCTTTAACCGTGTGTGATGAAGTCAGGAAGGAAGGAGGAGTTGCCATTTTCCAGAAGACCTGAACTCTTTGCACCTTGGTTCTAGCAAGTATTTTGCAGGGGTTACCTTTAATTGGAAGGCAGTGGATTGTCTTCTCCCATTAAACTGCTGAAATGCTATTTTAAGGGGATACGTGGTTGTCACTGGCCAGGGAGGGATTAAATTACTGTTGGTTGCTCAGAAAAGGCGGAGCTGTACATCCCTGAGATGGTTAATCTCTCCCCTCTCCTCTGCCTGCCCAGCATTCATCTCTGCATTACGCAGTTGCACACCAAGTCTGGCGTTGCTGAGCAGTTCCTGAAAGATGTCAGAGACAGCATTGAGGAGATCATGAAGGACCTCAGTGCCAAGACCACGGGCATGGTAAGGAGGCCGGCGTATAGTGAGGCTGTGTTTGGGGTGGGTGTGTTTCTCTCACGGCTTTAAGGACCCTGCGTAATGACCTCCTCTTCTCTGCTTAGGGAGCCATCTATGGAATGGCCCAGTCTGTCCCAGACAGGAGCTTGGTAGCGGAGATTTCTCAGGCGTACTTGGACGGCCTCTACAGCACGGATGTTCCTTGCAGTGAAAAGCACATGAACGGCTCTCCCAGCCGCCACTGACTGTAGCGCAACCATCGGTGCCTTGCCAGCGAGCACTGGGGTTGGTTCTAAAGGCTTCCTAGGGGAAGAGATTGCAGTAAGCCTTTGTTCCTACAATTGCAGGTCTGATGGCGACTTGATCTTGAAAACTTCCCTCCCCGTCTTTGTCTGTTCTGCAATCCACATTATTTTCCTGCCCAACTTTAGTTTTAGGGCTTTTCATCCCTCCCCCCTGCCTGATTTCATCATGACTATTGATGGTGAATTGAATGTCCATTCCACAACTCCAAATTCCTCAGGTATTCTGCGTGTCACTTCGTTCCTTGCTGTTTCTTCTCCTCAGACCTGGTATTCAGCCGGTGTCCAGCCAAGTGTTAGATTTGAGTTCTCATGTTGTGTTCCAAAGCTTCAATTTTCTCAGAAGTTGAAGGTAGAAAATAAATTGAAAATTTTGTTTCCTTCTGAGTATTACTCCAAGCTACTGCATTTAACAGACTGTGCTGGGAGCCTTATATCTCTGTAATGCAGAGCTGATAAATTGGCAAAGGAAAGATGGTCATGTACTCCTTTTGAAATCCCCTCTGGAGATCTCAGTGTGACTGCAATCAATATCTGCTGAGGGGGAAAAGAACCCCAACACAGAATCCTTTTCCGGAATCTCTTGGTTTGAATAACAGCAGAAATAGAAACCAAGCGGGTGGTGTAGGGAGAGGAACTGGATGGTACTGAAAATCCTAGGTACGTAGTAACTGTTTTGCTTCCCTGCCTCTCCTGGAAGACATGCATTTACGACCTAGAGTGCTTTTGTTGTACATTGCAGAATTCTGGAGGGATGTGCAAAACAGTGATTTCACTGTTCATAACTTGAAGGTTTTGCACTATCTCACAATGCTGTAGCAGAGTCAGGCCCTGGCACGTGTCGTGGCTAGGGACTTCGCGTGCAAACGGATGGCGCCAAAGCTGACCTTTTTTTTTACCGTGATCTTTTAGGATAAAAAGGTGACTTTTGTAATAGTAGTAATCTCTGCTCTTTGCACTGATTCTTTTAAGGCACGTTTTCAAAAGGGCATTCACCATTGTGCCTTGATGCTTCTCTGGCTTTTTTTGTGGGGCGCCAGGGAGGATTTGAGGGTTCAGCTGTTGACCCGCAACCTTTGCCGCAGTCATTTCTGTATGGTACTATACCGAAGGGAAAAAAAAAAAAAAATCAAACAAAAAACCAACACCTCAGAGGCAGACTGGCCTCAGAGAAAGCATGCTTGCCTATAAGGTAGAGTAGTAGTTGTATTGAGCCAAGTCCCCTCATGGTGTTACAAAGATGCTGGAATAGCTCTGAGGGGTCGATGATAGGGTACATCAAGCTGGAGGTATTCAAGCCTTGGGCATATGGCTCACCCTTCCTATATTTCTCTGCTGTTTTTATGGTGAGAGAGTTTTCCCAGTGCAGCTTGTGAGGCAGTCATGGCCTGAAGGACAAGCCAGAATCTCTTGAGTAATTAAACAGGGGTAGAGTCACTCCTGCAGGGCTTTCCCGTGTGTTTCCTCTCAGCTTTTTGCATGCTACCGAGGTTTTCCCAGGCAGAATTCAACACCTGGGAGAAGACATGGTGCCCCATTTGCAGGGTCTTGTGCAGGGTGCCTGAAGGCATCTGTCACTGTTCTAGTGGGTTTGTGAGCCCGAAGCTGACCCTCACTGGCTTAACACAGCTGAAGCACACGCTTGCACAATAAATACATGGAATGAGGTTAATTACCAGCCACTGCACAAACCAGTGCAGCCTTGGGCCCAGTGATTGTGGGAAGGATACTTGCTTTTTAACAGGTTTATTCTCAGTGCTAGGAGACAAAAGTATTTTGGCCATCTGCCCGTAAATTGATGACTTTCTGCATGTCTCTGAGCCCTTTTGGAAACATCGCATTTAAATTGCCTGATAGTCTCTTGATGGTGTTACCAGCTCTGGCAGTCAGCGTTTATGTTGGACCTATTTATTCTGCTAACGTCTTGCCGATGTGACCATTGCTGCCTCTCTGAGTTTGCTGTACTTTGGAGACAGTCTTAAGTGTCTGGCTACTGTGATGGTTCTCTTTTGAACCAAGATTTAAAACAAAACAAAGCAAAAAAGGGAGGTACTCTTTTTGTTTCTGCTTTAAAAGAAAGGGGGGGATGGTTTGGGGTGGGGTTAAGGAAAGAAAAGCTCCCTCCTCTTCCCTGGTTACATTTTCCTCCGAGAAAGTAGATGGATCTGACAGATCATTGCTCCATTTCACATTTTTGGATGTATTTTGAAGGTGTTATTTGTATGTATTCCATTCTGGGATTCACTTACTAGTAATATTTGTGAGTTTAATTGTTTTATGTGTATTTGTTCTACACTGTAAATGTAATCTTCTGGTCAGGAACAGGCCACTGTAATTTACCGACGTGTAGTCTTCATTCTTGTCATCTAATGTGTAATCAGCATCTCCTTTATCATGCCAAATGGTCTTAGAAAAATGATGTGATTAACGGGCTGCATAATTATTTAAAAGACAAAAAAGAAGACTTTTATGGACTGGATTATGATCTGGAACTGGATGGTACTTTAGACCCGGAAGGATCTTCGCAAACTATTAATTCCTGCGAGATTTCTGACTGTTGGGTTATCTGAGCGGGACACTAAATCTGTTGCTTGTACAAAGCACTCCCAAGGGATTTGTGTGCTCGTAGGTACTAGACTGAAGAATATCCAGTGGGATGGACCAAGAAGAGCTGTGTGTCTTCATGCCATGGATTTCATCTGCACTTTTTCTGATGACTTGGGGGAGGGGGGAGTGGAAGGGTTGTGTACAACACAGTAATATCTTGCCCAATAAATACACATTGACTTTTTAATGAACAAATGGGATGAGTTCATCTGATGGCAGTATTCTGTATTGCTCTCATTTGCCCCTGTAAAACTGTAAGCTGAAATAGCTGAAGAGATGGTGAAAATGGGCCTAGTTTGTATTAAAATGGTGCATTTAGCTATCTAGGCTTATTGAACTCTTATTTTTCTGTTTCAGTGCTCCTTTGAGTGAATGGAGATCCGGTGTTCCTGGTCTTTGTTCAAGCACAGCCCAGTCTGTGGCAGGGAGAATGGTTTATGAACCCTACTAACTCTGCCCGCGGGCTGCTCTTTCATTTTGTCAAGATAAAGGTGGTGTCGGTGGCTATGTCTTGTGTGTGGTGTTCAAGGATGCTGAAAATTGTCATTTAAGAGCTAGGGATTTTCTCTTAATACTTTATAGAGCTTTAAAGGCTTAAGAAAAAAAAAAAAAAAAAAAAAAGACCTGAATTGGGTGTTTGTAGTGTTTCTCCCAGACTGTTTTGCTGACAGGAACTACTGTTGGTTTCACAGCATATTGTTCCTGTTGTACTGCAAACGCAGCAATTGGACTGCAGCCTCCCTGAACACAGAGATCATTGTGTTACTGGAGCGAAGATCTTACACCACCAGAATCCACCCACAACCTCTTCTGGGAAGTATTCCCCCATAAGCAGCCCCTGGCCTGTTGCTGAGCTGCTTTGGTGCCTATTTATTGGTTGTGCCTTCCCTGTTTGCGCCTTGCCTGTGGTACACCTCTGATTTTAGCACAAGCAGTTTGTGTCTGATCTGCTCTGGCTTTGTTAATCTCATTTTCCTTCAGGCCCCGTTCATCTCCGCTTGGCTTCATCAAGAAGCTTTTCCATGGCAGAAGCACCGTCCTGAGAGCACTCAGGCCAGTAGCTGCCTTGGGAAAACCTGTGGGTGTAATTTTGACCGTGAGGCCTCCTTCCAGACTTGACATCAGTTTAACCAAGATGTTTATTGTAAACATTTTCAGTTGGGATCCTACTAAAAGCTGGTTACAATAAGGGTGAGATCACGTGCCTGCCTATACTACTGCTAGAGAGAGCTTACCGTAATAACCCAACTGCACATCACAGTTGCTGGTGTGTGTTACAGAGAAACCAAAGGATTCGTGTACCGTGTTTCAGGTAGAAATATTCCAGCAGGTAAGAAGCAATAACACAGTGGGTGAACGGGGTCAGGCTCTGGAAAGGTTTACTGGTGCAATTGTGTCCCGTGACTCCCGGTAAAAGGGCACGCCTGCTGAAAGGCAGAGGCTCAGCAGTTTGGGGGGCTGGTAGCTCGTGACGAAATGAGTTTACGGGTGGAAGCGGTGAGATCAGAGATGGTTACGTGCACGGTGCCCAAGGAGTGCCTCCATCCATCTGAGCTGTGGCAGGGGAGGGGGTTTGGCGTGGCGTTAGGCAGTCTGGATCCAGGAACTAGCTTGCAAGTGGGAGAAGGCTCTAGGTGCTGCCGTCCAGGCGAGGGGCGGGTTGTGGCAGTGGCAGAGTTGATTTTTGGCTTCGTGTGTGTCTCTCTAGTCAGGAGAGAGAAGTTGCAACCTGCTCGATGAAGCTGGCCAAGTTGATGTCTCGCTCTGATAAGCCTCCGCACTCGTGGGTGCTCAAGGTGATGTGAACCTAAACCAGACAGACCGACCAAGTGTTGCTGGCAGAAAGAGCAGGAGCGTTTTCCCCAAGTGCTGCAGAGACAGTTGGCGTCTGATGAGGCAGGTAGCACTCACTTTCTCCAGACTCGTTAGCAAAATTTCCAGGGGTGGGAGAGGTGGTCTGGCACTCTGCCTGGTTTTCTCCTTCCTACAGCTTGTCCTGCTCACGAGCTGTCACTGCCACCCCTGCCTTGGTCACTGCAGACAGCTGTGCCCACTTTTGTGCTCCCTACTTCTCCAGAAGCTTTTCCCCTTGCTGCTACTTCTGATACTGATTTTAAACAACCCCGGTGCCAGCCTACAGGCAGCTAGTGCTCAGCTGGACAGGTGAAAAAAGGGGGGAGGAAAGGGTCTGTAAGTGATAGCTGTAGGCTGTCTGCGATACGCTGAGGGAGTAGCGTCTGAGGGCAAAGGTCTCACTGATCTCAACAGGACTCACTGCTGCTGTTATATGCCTCAGAAAAGGGACCTGCTCCCCCAAGAGCTCTGTTTGGCCCCACCATCCCTGTTTCTTACCTTATTGTACACATTGAACCATTCAGGGTGGTGATCCACTTTTTCTGCTTGTAGAGCCACTCTGGTCATGAAGCCAAAGGCCTGCCCAGTAGAGTAAGAAAAGTTAGCTCTGAACCACTTCCCCTGCAATACATTGCTTTTTTTTACCCCAGTACTGTTAATTTTACACTGCAAATGTCCTGGCAACCCAACCAAATGTAAGGCCTGGGCTGTTCCATATCTTTGTTGGGGTTTTCTAGGAGTTTTCCTCTTTTTGAGGGAGCTTTTCCCAGACACGTTGGTGTCTTGGGCAGCATATCTTGCTCAGCCATTACGTTTCAGGAGACACATGGAGGAGTTTCTTTGGCTGAGCCTTGCAGATGGGACTCCCTGCTCTTGCAAACCAGGTCTCCCGCTTTGTAAAACTCCGTCCCGCTGGCGCTCGTACCCGGTTGAAGTCCTTGAAGTGGAACTCTTTGAAGATGGCGTCTCTGCCTTCCACCTCGTTCCACCCCATGGCTCTCAGGTTTGGCAGCAACTGCTCCCTCTCCTCCGCGCTCAGTCTGTGGGCTTTTCCTGCCTGATACCACAGAAAGGAGAGGGAAGAGGAGCAGATTCAGCCTGACAGATGAAGCAGGTGTTCAAAGCAGCAAGGCATCTTGTGGAGTTGGGGATCCATGGAGGCAGCTGCAGACTGGGGGGGGGTGGGGGTGGGGGGGGGGGGCAGTTAGAGTACGTGTGTGGACCTGAATTTGGGGGGTACTGATGATAGGGGATATCAGTGCTGCCCTGTGCTCCCCACCCTGGGTACATCTTGCGTGTACCTAGGTCAAGTGAAGTCCAACTTGTCACTTTTGTCCTCTGACCTGCAACACCTACCACTTTACTGGTGGATATACATATTCATTATAACCTGAGGTACTAAGAAATGATGGCTGTGTCTGGTTAATCTCCCAGATACATTACATATTATTTTCTGGGAAAAAAAAACAAAACCAAAAAAACCAAACAAACAAACAAAAAAACAAACACAAAAACAAAAAAAAACAAAAACAAAAAAACAAAAACAAAAACAAAAAAAACCAAAAAAAAAAAAACCAAAAAAAAAAAACCAAACAAACAACCCAACCCTGAAACTCTGTCGCGGCATCTAGAACTGAGAATTCCTTGCTTTTGAGGTTCCTGAAGTACCTTCCCAAAGCAGGAGGGCTTTATTTGCAGGTCATCTGCACTGGAAGCCTGCTTTAGAGGAGAAAGAAGTGGCATGAATCAGAGAGATGAGTCATGCTAAATCGGAGTTCAGCTCCTTTTCAATCTCCCTTATGTTACGATGGCTGTTTCTATCTGTGAGTAACAAAGGGCAGAGGGAGGGATTGTGATTTAGCATTGTCTGCCGCTCTTGGGCAGAGCTGCTGTTACTTGTTTTTCAAGGGGGGGGGCCGAGGGAAAAGGAAGCAGCAGTTCTTGGCTTTGGGGAATGAATATAGGCAAAGGTGAGTCTAAAATGGAGTTCTTGGGGATGGGGGCTACCCGAGTCAGTGTATCTTCTGGTTCAGTGGGGAAAGCAGGAATGAGTGCTGAGGGGCATTGCTCTATCTGAAAGTTACGTTCTGGCAAATAAAATTCTTTCCTAGTGGGTGATCTCATCTTTGAGTCGGTGAGGATTGTTGTTTCTCAGTGACAAAAGACCAACATCTCTTTGCAATTTGTTTTCAGTTATGTGCTGTAGAGCAAAGTGTGTGGCAAGCTAGCTATGAGTCCCGACAAATACAGCCTGCTGTGTTTTGGGGGTGTTTGGTCAGCAGCCCCTTGAGGTGCTTTGCTTGGGCATCGATGCTCGGGTGTAAAATCTTAAAACAGCTGAGCAGCTAAGGCAAGTCGGCCTTTCCTATAGTTTACTACCTCGCAGGCTGTACAAAACCAAAGAGGCGGCCACAGAACTGATGGTTTTTTGTGGGTTCTTCTTTGGCCTTGCATGTTTTGAGGAAGATTGGAAGGATGATGCCCTGTTCCCATGGGGGGTGTGCTAAGCCATCGGGCTCCGTGGGTGCCTACCTGCCTGTGTAGCCGTGACCCTTTACCCTCGAGAGAGCCATCAGCTGCAGAGCCCTTCGTGAAATGGAGAGTGCCGAGGTGCACGCTGAACCTGAGCTCAGGGGGTGGCTGGGGGGTGGGATGGTTCCTGTGTCTGTCCCCCCTTCCACCCGGCGCCCCAGCTGCACGCTTTCCCTCTTGCACCAATGTTTGGGGGGGGGTGGGGGGGGGGGAGAGCCTTCCTTGCCCTTCCATGCTCCAGCCTCGCTGCTAGGGTCTGACCCCCTTGTGCTGCCCTTTAGTTTGTGTGGCATTTTGGATAGCCCTCTGCCAGCCCTGGCTCTGTCCTGTTCTGTCCCCCCCCCCCCAACATCAACCCCATCCCTTCCTGAGCTCTGTGTTTGGAGGGAAGGTAGCGAGTAAACATGGGCTCAGCGCAATAAACCCTCAGCCGTTGCCCTTCTGTGCCGATGGTGTGATAAGCCGGGTAGCTTAGCAACTGGATAACGTGGGGAGGGAGGATGGCTCTGCTTGTGGGGGGGGGGGGGAGAACCTGTGGGGGGCTGCCCTGGGCGATTCGGATGGGAACGGGGTAGGGGCTACGCCAGGTTTTGGGACCAGGGGGCTGAAGCCTCCTGCTTGCATCCTGGTGTTAAAGAGAAGAAAAGCGGCGTAAAGCCGGAGCTGTTGCTTGCCTGGAGGAGAAGGGTATGGACATGGGGGACTGAGTTCCCAGCCAGCCTCCCCCCCCCAGGCAGAGCAAGAAACCCAACTGCTCGAGGAGGGGGGATGCAGCTTAAATTGTTCTCTGCACCCTTTTCTGTATCCCAACTACATGGGAGGATGAGCCCCCGGGTTTTTTTTCCAGGCCCAGCTCCTCTCTCAGAGCCCGGAGGCAGTGGCCAGGCTGAGGTTTGGCCAACGGACCGCGTGAAAGCCAAGCTCCTCCGGCTGCCCCTTGGGAGGGGTGAGCCCTCAGCCCCCCGTGCCTTCCCCTTCCCTCCTTCTCCACCCCAGCACCTTGGCCAGCCTGCTGTTTTTGTCCGGATGGCACGTTCATGCTTTCATGTGCACTTATTCCTTTAAAACACATTCTTCTCATTAGGGAAATTTAATTATTTTGTTTTCTTTCGCTGGCTCTCGACTGCCAAGGCATTGGGATTTTTTTTTTTTTTTTGGCCAGCAGGAAACCAAGTAGATGTATTGTGTAACTGAGGGAAAGGAACCAGCATGGGGGGAGAGCTTTGGGCTCTCTGGAGATGAAAAGACCCTCTCAGCTCAAAATAACATCTTCCCTTTCGGGGGGGGGGGTAACTTGTCACCTAGGAGAAGGTAAAGGGGACAGCCCTGGCGTGAGCAGGACCCGCAGATGGGGGCAGGAAGGAGATATGCCACAAGGCCCACGGTCTTTTGCTCCTATCCCCTCCGGTGCTGTGAAAAAGCTGATTTCCAGCCGGCCAGGGTGGGTTGCGTGGAGCCGTGCAGACAGAGCACGGGTGTGTGTGGGGGGTCATGCTTGCCATGGCAGAATTTGAGTGGGGGGGTCCTGCTGGCAGCGCAGCCTTGCTGAGGGCCCCTTTCCCTCCCCCTCGCCGAGGAACCCAGCCTGGAGAGCTCTGCCTTGGGTGATTCAGCAGCAGCCGGCGGAGCTCCCTGCGTTACTGATTAACCACCGCGCAGAGCTCCCTCTGCTCCTTTCTCCCTTTCCTCCTGCCTCTTCTCGGAGGCCGGAGCTGCCGCCGAAACCTTCCTGCCCCATCCTTTGCCGCCGCCTGCAAAGCGACAGCCGCGTTTCCCAGCAGCGACTCACCATTGCCCGTGGGGTCTCGGTGGCCTCCGTCCCTGGTCCAGGCTGGCTGGTTCACCCTGTACCGTGGAGCCACAGCTTGGCCGGGGTGACGAGAGGCGTGGCGAGGGAGCCGGGTCCACCCACGGCGAGCTGCTTTGCCCGTGCTTTTACCAACAGCAGCGGTCACCCACCCGCCGGGCCCCTGGGGGATGCTACAGCTCGGTCTCTTTGAACCCCCCCACCCGTGTGCCGAAGCGGTGATGCGCCCACCCCTGAACCCCACCCACCCCCTCTCCCGTAGGGTCACGGTTTTTTAACCTGGTGCCTAAGGCAGGACGGGATGGAGAAGGGGCAGTTAAGGCCGGTACCGCCGGACGCTGCTGGCCACGCGTGGGGTGAACGTGACGGTCGTCCTGGCTGAGCAGGGACGTGTGCTTCCCAGCCCTTTGAGCTCCGTGCAGGGATAATCACGAGCCGAGGGCCGCGTTGTCTGGGGACAGCCTGGATTATATCGCAGCACGTGGACCAAGAGCCAGGGTAACGGGGGGGTGGGGGGGAGTGTGTGTGCAGCACAACGCTTCGGAGCACTTTTAAGGTGTTTTCTCCCGTTGCCGAGGGAACTGGGTCTGCCTGGATGCTGCGTGCTGTTCCTCAGCTCGTTTTCACTCGCCAGGCCTGCCGGATTTGTGCCCGTGTCCTGCAGCTCCTTGTCTGCTACTCTCACTCACACGATGGGCAATTTTCCTGCGCTAACAACAATGTTGTACTGTGCTGACGTACACAGTAGACAGAAATCCATCACCCTGCTATACCCTCATGGCTTCCTTTGCCCTCAAAGCAACTGATGCTGGAAATTTTTTAATACCGTGTAGCATACATCCCTTGTATATACGCTTGTACACATTTTGTTTTCCACTGTTGGGGTTCACGGGTGCCACAGAGATTATTTGTTTCTCCAGCAGGCAAGTTAGAGGGAAGCAAATTCTTCCTTTCCTTTTTTGCCCTCTATAGATTTGCTTGCCGTGGTAGTGAAAAGGAAAAACAAGCAACTTCTGTGGCCTGGGAGACCCTGAGTGTCTGTTTGGGGTGAAAAGACTTGGAGAGCACGGTAGCACCTGAGAAGAAAATAACTGTGTGCAGATATGAAGCTGGAAGCTTTGATATGGATGAGACGAGGAGGTGCGCCTTATGGTTTCCAGCAATGAACTCGGGGGGTGGGATTGTTTATAAGGTTGGGAAAGGCCAGCCAGAATATTTTCTTGGCGTAAGCTAGAATTGCAGGGCTGGCAGTTTCATCAGCACAGCCCAGCAGAAGCGGCCCAGTAAATAATGGCATAAGCAGGAGGTAAAGGAAGCAATATTGTCATGAAGTTGCAGGTGGAGGGATGGGCACTGCGGGTAAAGGCTATGTTCGGGGGATCTCAGCTTGCAGGTTTCTCAAGAAAATGCCGTGGCAGTTTTGATGGTAGCCTGTCAGGGCCTCAAATGCACCTTGCCTAGGTGACAGTGCCTCTGTTGGCCTCCCTACTGATTTGGAGATGGGGGAGGAAGCCAACACCCCATCTCTCATGGTACCCCGCTTTTCCCCCTGTTGGATTTTGTTCCAGCACAGCTAGGAGCAGATCCTACTTACTCTGCCAATACGTGTACCACCAGTACAGAGCAACTGACAGGTACCTCAGCTCATTAGAGGTGAGAATTTCTGTGTTTGGAGAGAATATCAGGAGAAAAACAATTAATTATACTGTGTCTACTGATTACCCAGCTCCTTTGTAATGACATTTTCTCTCCTAGGTTATAAATCAAGCCGTAACTGCCAGCCTTAAATGTGAGAAATCTCTTGCAGAGGGATGTGCTTTTGCTGAAAAAGCATCGACAGGGCAGTTGTGATTTTCCTCAGTCTGTGGTGTGAAACTGTGGCTGGGGGGATCCACTGGCTGGCTCCCTCTCCTCAACCTCTAAGTGCACGAAACTCCCCCCCTGCACAGTTTTAATTTCTCTCTGTGAGATGGGACCTTTTAGATTTGCTTTTAATGATTAATGGGGTGATGTTGGGCAAGGTGTTTGCTCAGAGCAGTCTGCAGCCCCGTGCAAGGGGTGTGCCTGTTTACTGGGAACGCATTTTTGCTCTTTTTCTTCCCTTTTTGTCTAGTTTAGACCCACGTTTCTTTTGGTAAGGTCAATAGCAGTTAAACCCAGATGTATACATTGCTGTTACATCCCCACAGGGGCTTCTGCATATTTGCGGGGAGCTTTCGTATCACTCACCTACTATTATTTTAATTTTGTCAATAAGTTTTTAACACAAAATGCATCTGACCCTGAAAGCTGCTTTGGTTGAGAGCCATGCGCTGTCTCCCATCTCAAGATTTGCTTTTTGAATTCCCCCCTCTTTCCCATTCCATGCTCCCTGAAACATTTTGGTGGTCCCTTTGAGGCAAGAGGGGGGACCCTGGCTTCCTCCTGTGAGAATACTGGCTGCAATGTGTGACTGCTTGCAATCACATAAGAGATATGGAGAGCATGATCCTTGCTGCTTCCAGGGCAGAGAACCTCCCTGCAGGAGGCTAGGATTCTCCAACACAACAAGTGTTGTTCGGTGGGTTTTTTCTTTTTTTTTTTCTTTTTTTTTCTTTTTTTTTTTTTTTTTTTGGTTGAGTTTTTATACTTCCATGTGGTTTGCCTATTTTTTTTTTTTTTTAGCTTTTCCTCTTTTTTTTTTTTTTTTTTTTTTCCCCCCCTTCCTCATAGTCTGTGCTGGCTCCTCACTTAACAGTATTAAAAATGTGCTCAGTGTCATCTTCCTACAGGTGTGTTTTTCCAGGCGCCCTGTGGGACCTGTGGGGCTAGCATTACCATGGTTCAAGTCACGGTAAATTCACTCTGATTTTTGCATCTTGAGCCCTCTTGTGAGGCAAATGAGATTAACTGGCAAAGAAAGCGGTGGCTTCTGCCATCTTGTTTGCCGCAGTGCGAGTTTGCCTTGGACGGGCTGTTAGCAGAGCTGCTGACTCAGCAGCGGGGTGTTTGCTGATGACACTGGCAGAAGGAGTCTTTATCTCAAGCAAGGTGCAGTTACAGGGCTGGATGTTTGTTTTATGTTGTACTTTGGAAGAGGGGTGGGTGTCCTCCAGCACTGCATGGGAGAGGTTTGTCTGTCACATCCAGGAGGGACCCAGTGGGGTAACTAGATAGAAAACACACGGCATGTGAAGATCTCCTGGGCTTGAAAGTAGGTGGAGGCATAAAAAGGGAGAAGCTTCATTTGTGCTTGCTCTGTTCTTTCATTTCCCAGGTCCACTTCTGGCTGCAGCTGGAGACAGGGTGTGAACTAGGTCCTGTGTCACGATGTCCCTGCTCCTTAGAGAAGTCCATTAGACAATCCTGAGCGTGCGGTTAGTTTGCTTTACCTTTGATGTGCTTGGCTCTTCTTCAGGTGTGGCACCATCTGCCATTCCTTCTTCCCACCATTTGGGAGGCAGAAGGGGTTGCCTGCCACACTTCACCTCTTTTCCCTGCTTGGGGAGACCCAGAGCAGGAGGACTGTTAGTAACCCATGAGATGGGAGAACAGATTTTTGCCTGGTGTTTACTGAATCGTCCATGTATTTAGCAACTTTGAGGTTGTTTCTGTGATGAGACTGAAACTCATGTGTTGTGGGCAGCGGGGGCCAACTGCTTAGTCAGCAGGGAAACAATTAACCAGCTTCAGTGCGTCAGGAATTCACTGGGAATATGTTTTCAGAGCTTGCCTCCGTTGCTAATGGCATTTGAGCAAGTAGTAGCCTGGGACAGGGTCACAATCCCCCGGTGAACCTCAGCCCCCAAAAGGTGTTTTAAGCCGGTCTGGACCAATCTCTTTCATCAGTGAGTACTCCGTTGGTATCTGAAGCATTGCTCTTGTGGCACAATAGATTTAATTAAAGAGTTTGTTTAGCACTGGAGGGGATTTATGGCAGTTGTGACAAGCTTAAGTTGACAAAAGGGCCCAATAAATAGAGATGAAACATGAATTATTCCTGTGTGAGACCTCTTGTAGCATCATTTTATCAAAGTCAGTGAGTGCTGGGAATTGGCCTCAGTACAATGAACAAAATAAATCGGAGTCTGGTACAAATGGGGCCTTCTCTGGTCTGCTCACAGGATGCTTAAGGTAAAAGGCCTGGACGCCAAGCAGTGTGCAAGTACCCCTGGAGAAGGCTAGATTGAAAAAAATGGCGATGAAAGTGGCATAATCACTTCTAACTGTGTAGAAAACATGCATACCAAAGTGGGAGGCGATTGTGCAAGACGGTGGAATGTCACAGCATCTGGGAGTGAGGACGTTGCACTGCAGGGATCTTTACCAGAGCAGGAGGAGGATGCAAACCTAGGTCTGGAGTACCTGAGCACACATTGCCATAAGTTCCTTCTGTGTCAAACTGGTGCTGGAAGAGACAACCCAAGGCTAGCCAATGCATGGAGAAGCCTAGCATGAAGAGCTGGGCCAGAATAATACTGCTTGGACTCTGTGTTTGCCCTTGAAACCAAGTGGCGTGCACAAAAACAAGGGCCCTGGGCCCTGTCAGCTAACGTACTCCTGTGTCACGAATCTTGTCCTCCGGATCCCCAGGAATTTGCTCCATGGTCTGACACAGACAGCGGTGAGATCATGCGGTTTGCTGCCCTGCCAAGGCCGCGCAGTACCCTGCAACAGGATGCATTTGCTGTGGGGGAAGATAATACATCAAAAGTGCCTTCTCCCCACCCTTTGTTTTGTCCCGTCTGCTGATGGATTAATCCTGTAACTCAGCTTCCCCAGGGCACAGCTGGAGCCTAGTGCAAGGGAAACTTCTTGTATTCAGCTTGTTTCCTGACTTTCAGTCCAAATTTGAGTTTCTTTGCTAAACAGGTTGGATTTTCTGGCAAATTCACAGGGGTTGTGGAGGGTGAGTATTTTGACAGATCTGGAAACCCTTCTGCCATCTTAAAGAATACGTTTTGCTCCTTGTTTATGCGGGGAGAGTTGGGTGCCGCATGTTAAGCGGCTGCTGTACAGCCATGTCTTGTCACTAGGGGTCAGGAAAATGCTGAGAAATGGGAGAGCTCCCTCAAACCGCAGCCCCCGGCAGGAAGGGCACAAGGTTGGAGCTCTCGGGAACCCATCTGATCCCGAAAACCAGGAGGGATTGCTGACATTATCAGCTCTGCTAACGAGTGGCGGCTGTCAACAAAGCGGGTCTTCAGCTGGACCTTCGTGACCAAATTGTT